CCTTGATTTGGTACAGATTTAAAATCTTTTTCTGATTAGATGACTGAAGGTCCTTTTGAAGAATTTTCACCTGCCTTTTAAAAGTCTTCCTAATTTTTTATATCTTAAAGACCTTTTTCTTTCATTCATGTATAATTTTTCATATAATTGTAGCTTCTTCTCTAAATCTTCCTTGCCATCTTTCTCTGGTGCTGCAATAATTGCAAATAGACCTTCACTCGAACTTGAAGACTTAGAAGGGCTAACTGGAAGTCCCATATCTTTTGATATTAAATCCGATAGAGATAATTATTGATCAGAGGGTTGATCTTCTATGAAATCACATACTTGTCCTGAAAAAAATAGCATTATAGCTGGATTCCTAAATACTTGTAGATGCTTTAATGCGGATTAAAAAAACTATATTAAATAGTTTATTGATTATTAAATATAAATTTAGAACAACTTCATTTTTCAGATATAAAAGTATAAGCATGTAGCAATCATAAAATTATGACAAAAATTTTCTATACAATATTTACCCGTATTCATTTCGGGTCTCTTAGAAACTTGTGTGTCACGTTGGGCAAGCGGTTTCCTTTTCTTTTGTGGTACAGAAAAAGAATATATAGTTGGAACAACATTCATTGTTAACTTCCTGGTACCATCTACCTTTGTTTTTTCCCACATTTCTGGGGCAAAGTGCACCTACAAATTAAAAACTAAGGAAATTGTGCATTCAAAATACAAAATCAAAAGCTATTATATGCCAATATTTTATGTACACAGTGTGACACAAATAATTGGGCCTACAGGTATCATTATTCAATAAGCACCAAGAGATTCCATCTCAACCTCGATCTCAAATGTGCACTCAACGCTATTTAATTTTATGTTTTTTAGTTCGTTCACATAACATTCACATACATTTCTAACTTGGTAGTGCACATAAAGAACATACAATAAAACTAGCCAAAATTACAAAAAAAATACATAGCTCGCACAGACAAGAGGCGTTTGTCGGAGTCCATTCATCCCTTCTCATTTTAATTAGCCATTGCTTTCTCCTAATTGGGTCTCTGGGAAAAGTTTTCATCAAAAAACCCTTTCTGCGAGAATTTGTACAATTCAGAGCAGCACAACCAGGCATGATGGAAATTCTAACTAAAAATATAAAAATAATTAGATAGCTATCGTAAATCAGTCTGTCAAACAATGAAATAAAAAATACCTTAAACTACTTATTAAATTAATTTTTTCCGTATTCATTTCGGATCTCTTTGAAACTTGAGTATCACGTTTGGCAGGCGGTTTCCTTTTCTTTTGTGGTACAGAAAAAGAAAATATAGTTGGAACATCATCCATTTTTAACTTCCTGGTACCATCTACCCTTGTTTTTTCCCACATTTCTGGGGCAAAGTCCACCTACAAATTAAAAAATAGGAAAATAGGAAATTGTGCATTCAAAATACAAAATCAAAAGCTATTATGTGCCAATATTTTATATACACAGTGTGACACAAATAATTGGGCCTACAGGTATCAGTATTCAATAAGCACTAAGAGATTCCATCTCAACCTCGATCTCAAATGTGCACTCAACGCTATTAATTTTATGTTTTTTAGTTCGTTCACATAACATTCACATACATTTCTAACTTGGCAGTACACATAAAGAACATACAATAAAACTAGCCAAAATTACACAAAAAAATACATACCTCGCACAGACAAGAGGCGTTTGTCGGAGTCCAGTTATCCCTTTTCATTTTAATTAGCCATTGCTTTCTCCTAATTGAGTCTCTGGGAAAAGTTTTCATCAAAAAACCCTTTCTGCCAGAGTTTGTACAAGTCACAGCACCAGGCATGATGGAAATTCTAACTAAAAATATAAAAATAATTAGATAGCTATCGCAAATCAGTCTGCTAAACAATGAAATAAAAAGTACCTTAAACTACTTATTAAATTATATTTTTTTTGAAAAAGCCAAATAACTCACTCTATTTCATAAAGATCCAACTTAACCCAAACAAGCAAATCGTAAACATATAGGTAAGTACTTACCGAAAAACTAGAGCCTCAAAATCAATAATTTCCTTCACATTAAACTGAGATAATGATATGAATGAATTAAAAGGTTATTTACTGTACTTCACTTTCATCGCCAAAAACACAGATAAATCAGAGAAATTGAATAATAAATACATTTACAAAGCGAACACCCATAACATTTAATAAAAACACCGAACAAAATTTGCCAAAACATGGCGGAAATGTGACGTCATTTCCTTGACCAATCAAAAATCGCACAACACCTGTCGCCACTGTCTTGTATAGAATCACTGTAGGTGGAGCAAAGGCAAACTCGATATTTGAGTAACGACTATAATTATCGACTCTAGCTTTTTCGAAAGGATTAAAATGAAACTACTTTGACTTGATATAAAAAGATTTTTTATTTTTGAGTAGAAAACAGATGGAACAGAAAATATCTTACAATTTTAAAATTTTTCTTTTAGAGTATACCTTATATATATAATAATATAATCCTTAATTTTCAACCAATCTTTTGTTTTTGATGTTGCTGAATTAGATCTTCACATTCTGCACTTTTCGGTGGTTTTTTCTTTTTAATATGATTTGCGAAATATGATGTAACCACTTTCTTTTGTTCTTCTGTCCATTTTACTAATATCCGTCCTTTTTTCGGACACTTTAATTTTTCTGTTTTGGAAGCAACGTCTTCAGGATTTCTGGTATCTAGATCTGCACTATTTGTTGTATCGTACTCAATTGGTTCAATTTCTCTAGTTCCTATATCTTCTATTTCATTTGTTTCCGCAAAAAGATCGTCTTCCATGTTAATATTGATTTCGTCTAGTGTCTTGCCCTTAAAATTTCCAATTTCACGCTTTTCCATCAAGAGTAATATTTTCGCAATCTTTGAGGTCTGATAAACATCATCTGGTAGTCTGTATGATTGACGATGGATGCCTACCGTGTGACCCATGAACGTTGCTAATTGTTCTAAATCTGATTCGGACATGTTGAAAACTTGCGATAGCCACATGCTTTCGTAATTTTGTGCATGTTATTCCTTGCGGATTTTTTGCGCCACAAGACGATGCATATTTTTGTAATATCTTGTATCCAGTAACTGGTTGTAGAGAATTTATATTTGGAAACAAATACGGATTAGGTTTTTTCAAAAACTGGGACCTATATTTTATTAACAAATCTATATGTTCTTGGATATCTGTACTAAATAACACAGGTACACCACGACCTCGTTTCCTCCGAATAACGAGACGTTTAAAATTTTTTCAGTTGCTGAAATTGCGCCTTCAAACTCTTCGTAATTTTGTTTATTTGTCGAATAACATTGGTAAGACTTTAGCAGAACCCTTTGTAGTTCCCCGGGCCTTTTTCGGTTTAGCAAAATGACTCTGCAGTACACAGTTTCAATTAAAATTTTGTAGTCATTTTCTGATGCAGATGATGTTACCAGTTTTGCTGCTGCTTGGTTTCCTTTGTCAACTAGGTAGTCTTTAAGAAGTTTTAAATCACTCGGTAGGGGTATGACAGTTACCTTGTTCCATTTATTCATATTTAAAGTGTTCATGGTCTGGGTCGAAACTTCAAATCTCCAGTTTTCATTCATTAAATGAATTAATGTTTTCACGTCAGCTTCTATACTCGCGCTAGATACATTTCCATATATGTCTTTTTCTTTGCAAAGCACACAAAATGATGATATCACAATATTGCTTTAAAGATGTGCTTATATTCGTGACATATGTTGCAGATTTATACGATTCTGTTTGATTATCGGAATTAGCAACTTTTTTTGTTGCTTGTACTCTTAAATCAAAATTTTCCGGTCTAAGAATTTCAAATAAATCTTTGTATCTAGAATCCATCTTTTTCGTCTCTATGACCAATCGGGCCAATTCTCTAATTTTTCTCGATACAACATTAATTAAGTGGACTTCTCTATGGAGTTTTAAATACCGTTCGCCGAAAGCACAAATCAGTTTATCAATTTTTGCTGTTAGTGATATAGAATCTGGTCTCATTCTGGCGAAGCTGAAAAATTTTGTTAGTAAAATTAAAATGGTAGATAATACGTACTTGACCTAATTTTCCTTTTTCCAAGCGAGTTTAACAGCACTTGATCTTCCTTTTGTTCTTTCAAATTTATTTTCTCTTTTCGTCTAGACTTTTCAATTACCTGTCCCAACTCATATCTGCGTCTTTTTCAATTTCTGATTATTGAATTGCATTTAATTCTGTTTCTTCTGGTTCTAAACCGTCTTTTGCTCTTTCCAGCAATTGAGACATTCGTGTTATCTCTCGTGTGTGTCATTATAGGCATTCGATAATGCTCACGATGTATTTTTTCTGCGTGACCTAAGAAATTTGCCAGATCTGAAACTTCTGATTTCTGAAAGTTTAATAATACGCTCTGAGTGGCAATATGTTTTCTGAGATGTGTACCTCGTAGAAGCTCAGGATGCTCTGCTCCACAAGAGCTGGAAAAAAGATAGTGTCACATTTATACACTGTGAGAGATCTGTATGAAGCAGAACTAGGACTACTCTTGTCACGAACATAACTTTTTGCTAAACGCTGCATACCAGGTAATAAATAATTGAAAATTAAGAAAACAAATTTCTAAAGCAAAATTTTTTATTTTTTTTTATTATAAACATTTTTAAGCGATTCCTAACATCTAAACATAGTTACTGATAGAAAAAAAATATGGCATTTATCAAAAGAAAAAAACGTAACGTACGTTTTACAAACTAAAAAGATATTACAGTTTGTTTGGAACTAAAACTGAAAGGGCATAAGTGCCAAACTATTATTCCAACAAAGGTTATAAATAAAAAGAGACATTCTGTCCTAAGTGCCTCACAACTTAAAGATTATAAGTACCAATTAAAGGTGAGTTGAGCTGCTGCTTGGCGCCAAACTTTCTTCGCCTAAATTAAGAAGTTTTCTATAAAATATTTTGTGTTCAGGATTTTTTTTTATTCTCGGTAATCTTATTCACAGGGGGTAAAAGTTTTATTTCGGCATATTTTAAATCTTCAATGGTTTTTCCTTTTTTCAATATATTGGTTTTCTTCCAGGCTTCTATTTCGGAGAAAGTTTCTTTTATATGAAGCACTGTTGGATTTTTATGATTAATCTTTATTGTTACTGCCTTACTGATATTTAAGGTTTTAGTGTTAAGAAATGTGTCAGCAGCTTCCTTTATATCCCAAAATCCGTTTACAGACATGTCAATAACTTCGAATGGCGGATCATATTTTGCGGAAGTTATTACATGATGTAAATCATTTGGCACCATGGCCTTCATAACACGCTTTCTTTTTTCAATGAGAGCGAAGTTTCGGTCACAAGACATAAAGCTATGACCACTTATTAAAAAGTTATACTCTATTGTCTCAAAAACTTCATGAAGAGCCAGGAACACTAAAATAAATATCACCATTCTGTTCTTGTTTTGTCCCGCACAGTTGTCACTCCACAGTAGCAAATGCTTTTTTTGTGTGACACCAGAATTTAAAAGTTTAAGAAGGGTAGATGCCACTTCATTACCGCCACGTCCACTAACACCTTCATGCCACATACACATAAAAGCATGGTTACAGTCCGACAAGTGTATCCCCAGGTTGTAACAAGAGAGCTGAGACAGATAAAACATATCTGAATGAGTCAGCGTAGGAACAAATAATACTTGTTGCAGATCAAATGTAATGCAGCATTTTTCACTACCAGGTAGTTGTGAATTTGCGGTTTGATTCTTCATATATTCCAGAGATTGTTGCACTTTTCGGTGGCGAAGGTCGAGTTGTTGTGTCGCACTGCGGCCGGCACTAGAAATTTGCTTTGCCTCACTATTTAACCTATCGCAGGTATGGCATGTATCGACTCTAGGACGATGAAAGCTTAGATTCGGGAAATCCCTCTTAAACACACTTCTATAAAACTTATAACTTACAGAAGATTCTTTATTTTTCATCAAAAATGCTTTAAAAAGTCTATGAATATTTAAATCAAGAGTAAGATATTGCTTTTCTGATTTTGCACGTGAATAGTGTGAAACATCCCTAGGGATATAGTTTATGTGTTGATGGATCATTTTGCGGTCGTTTTCCGTTAACTTCATCATCATCATCTTCATCTAGTGGTTGGTCCTTTAAAAAGTCCCATAGCACTGCGGCCTAATTAGGCCTATTGTGCGTCCCACTACTAGTCCTATTCAGCAAGTAGATTTGTCCTTTTTACAAAGTCCAAAAGCTTCCTTGCTGACACTTCTCTCAATTCCTTGGGTTCCAAATAGGGTCTCCCAAGGAGCGTCATTCTGCTACGTGCAAATCCCGGGCACTCGCCCANTCAGCGTGACCATGGAGCTGCTGCTGGAGACCTGGTGCTAGCTTCGGATGGCGGCAGCCCGGTGGTGACCTTGAAGTGGTCTGGAATCCCCACTGCTATACTACTTCTGGGCATCTACTTGAGAATTCTTAGTTGTTACATTTTCGTTGCATTTCTTTCTATGTTTCCATAGCTGTCTTTTCGAATAAAATCCAAAGCAATGAGAACACGGTAGAAGTTCATTACTTTGTATACCTTTCTTCACTGGTTTTTGCGTCTGCCCAGAGTTCAAATAATTCCCTTTCTTTCGCAACATTGCTATTAAGTCTTTTCTTATTTTGTTTTTAGGGGGATATGATAATATTTTCTGGACTTCTATTTCTTGGGAGTGATTTCTGGTTACATGTCTGGCAAAGCACTCGATTGGCAGAGACCGACTTGCAATGACCATGCTCGACAGGGAAGGTTCTATCCAAATATGTAAAAATATACAGGGTGTTCCATTTAACTTATCAAAGTTAACATCCGCGGCCATTTTGTTTGGACTTCATTTGTTTTTCTACTATCATTTTCGAAAAATTCATAAAAACTCGTGCAACTTTTATATTTAATATTTTTTTATAACTCTTAAAACAAAAAAGTTAAAGGGGAGGTCAAAATATAGTGAATAACCCTGTACAGTGTGGTACACTACTATATTTTGTATGTACCATGAAAGAGGAGAAGGAGGAGAAGAGGAGATATGTACCATGAACATTGGTTAACACCTAAGATCTCGGATCATAATATTTTAAAAGTTAGTATTGCAGTAAATGTTGATTATAGGACAAAGGATACAACAAAAAAGATTAGATCCAAAAAATGTTACAATAAAGAGAAATTTCAAGAAAGAATTGGAAACGTAGTATGGAATATAGATGTAACTGATGTAAATATGATGGCTGAGTGTTTAACCGAGGACATTAAAAGCGTTTTAAATAGTGTTTCCCCGATAAAGGAAATACAAGTATGTATAAAGGATGATACTTTAAAAAATGTGATAGATAGTGACGTAATTGAAAGTATAAATTTGAGAAATATTATGTATAAAAGAGCAGTTTTTACTAAGAACGTAAGGGACTGGAATGAGTATAAAAGTAAACGTAACTTTGTTAGTAGACTAATTAAACAAAAAAAAAGAGGAATATTTTAAAGAAACTATAAAAAATAAGAAAGGTGCTGATTTACGGAAGGAGTTAAAGAAGTTACTACCTGGTAAAAACATAATTTGTGAAAGCATTAGATTTGAAGGGATACTTGAAACAGAGGATGAAATAATAGCGGACAAATTTAATAAATATATTATAAATAGTATTGACTCAATAGTGGAATCAATAAGTGCCCCACAAAATATATATCTACCAGAAATCCGGGATGATTTGAGTTTATTTGATAAATTCAACAATGTGTCGATGTGTAAATTAAAAAGTACGATTATTAATTTAAAGAATACTACAGATTTGGAATTTTTAATTTCGAAGGATAATATAAAAGACGCGTTTGAAGTAATTGGTGATCGTTTCCTTGAAGTGGTGAATTCATCCTTGTACTATGGAACTTTTCCTCAGAGTTGGAAGACTTCTGATGTAATACCGGTGCCAAAAGTTGTTAATTCGCAGGATTGTAAAGACTATAGACCAATAAATACAGTAACAATATTTGAAAAAATATTGGAAGTGGAAGTCAAAGATCAACTTGTGAATTATTGTGAGCAAAATGAAGTGTTTGTGCAAAACCAATCGGGGTTTAGAAAGTACTATTCCTGTGAATCGGCAATAATAAATGTTTGTGATGAATGGTTAAATGCTTTGGAAAGTAATAGGATAGTTCTTGTTGTATTCCTGGACTTAAGAAGAGCATTTGAGACTATAAACAGACAGTTACTAGTTGATAAGTTACAAGCAATAGGATTAAGAAATAATGTGTTGAAATGGTTTGACAGTTATTTAAGTAATAGGTATCAAAGAGTTAAATTTAAATCAGCAATATCAGATGCAATACTAGTAAAACATGGGGTTCCACAGGGCACCATTCTGGGGCCTGTATTGTTTTCAATATATATGAATGATATAGTTAAAGTAGTAAATAAGTGTCATATTTCATTGTTTGCTGATGATACAGTCTTATATATTGAAGGGTTTGACTATTTTTCAATGAGTGATCAAATGAATCAAGAACTGAAAATGATTAATGACTGGCTGTGTAGTAATAGTATGCTGTTAAATTTGGAAAAAACAAAATATATGATTATATGTAGGGGCAGTATAATGAATAAAATTAATGAGGTAGATTATAGAATTACTATAAATGATCATGATATTGAAAGAGTTTGGGAAATGAAGTATTTAGGGGTTATTTTGGACGATAAATTGAGTTTTCAAAAACATTGCAATTACATTTTGAATAAGATCTCAAAGAAAGTATACCTATTAAATAGAATAAGTAATAGTATTACTATGAATACTAGGATCCTGTTGTATAAAGCATTGATTGGTCCCCATGTGGA